CAACAATTCGACACATGAATCTCTCTAAACTAAGGCCACCACACTGCTCTTCAAATGATAATATTTCACTATGCATAATTGGGCAGTTCTATAGTTAGTTAAACAGTGAATTAGTCAATTATCTGTTGATAATCTGTTATCATGGCCCGGTCGTCGACCAGGCCCTCCCAAGTATTAGACATCGTATAAACCAAGCCTAAAATCCCAGTCAAATGGCCGTCAAGGTCAAACAAGACAAAGTATAAGTGTGTACTTTTGTCTATGAAAACAGGATCCAATATCCTTAAATTTCCAACTATCTACTCGATCACGTCGGAAATGTCTTGTATAAGGGAGATTAAGTGTAAGGAAAATCTCTCTATATTTCCTTGTCTTCAAGTGGTATATGTGATATTCCGTTGTAGCCTCGTGGTAGTGAGCGACTGAACAAGCTACACAATCCTGGTACATGGGCCCACACGATCCTCTCATTTGGGGTTGAATCCTTTATGTTTTACGACACTCTTTGTGGCTGGAGTCTTCGGCGACTGGGTTCTCCATTCTATGTTCTTATTCTATGTTTCTTTCCCTCCTGTTCTCTCTCCCTCTCACTTGGGGCAGGACGGTAGAGCGACGGTCTCGCTTCATGCAGGTCGGCGTTCAATCCCCGCGACCGTCCACAAGTGGTTGGGGCACCATTCCTTTCCCTCCGTCCCATCCCAAATCCTTATCCTGACCCCTTCCCAGTGCTATATAGTCGTAATGGCTTGGCGCTTTCTCCTGCTACTTCCTTTCCTCTTCTGTTAGTCCCAAAGACCTTCAGGACCCCAACAGAGAACAACGGAAATTATCTCCGTTATCAAATAACGGATATATTGACATCATTGCCTCACTGATAAGCGCAGTACACATTAGTCAATTGCAATCAACTTAATGGTATCAATATTATCATATGCAATATATTTTGGTCCGTTGCTAAAGCACATCAACACAAGATGAATCTGATGATTTTGGACCTGAATACTTGTTAGTAACTTTTTTTAAGTTTGTATATATCTATCATGTTAAAAAAAATGTATTTATATTCTCAAGATATGTATATATATATTGTATTCTCAAGTTTGTATATATCTATCATGTTAAAAAATATGTATTTATATTCTCAAGATATGCAAAGAAATACTGTTAAGACATCACGACTCAAAACACCATGGGACTCTACCCACCATTCAACAGCACGGTTGATTGATAGCCCAACCACAACGACGGCCAGATTTTGGCTTCCTCCCAAGAACCAGTGAGACGTAATACATGTGTTTGCCTTCCTCCCTCAAGTCAAAATCTCTACTGGCGTCTTCAAGGGTCCGGGAAAACAGCTTCGTCAAGTCTAACGTCTCAGAGCAAATCTCAGAGCTCGACATTTAGTTATCTTGAGGTTATCTTGAGATGATTTCGGGGCTTTAGTGTCCCCGCGGCCCGGTCCTCGACCAGGCCTCCACCCCCCCCCCCCCAGGAAGCAGCCCGTGACAGCTGACTAACACCCAGGTACCTATTTTACTGCTAGGTAACAGGGGCATAGGGTGAAAGAAACTCTGCCCATTCTTTCTCGCCGGCGCCCGGGATCGAACCCATGACCACAGGATCATAAGTCCAGCGTGCTGTCCGCTCGGCCGACCGGCTGGTAAGGAAGATATGTCAATGATGTCGAGAAATAGGAAACGCAGATCATTGGAACTTTAAAACAGGTGGAGAGTTGCAAACCAGGTGTGCAAAGTTGCAAGCCAGGTGTGCAAAGTTGCAAACCAGGTGTGCAAAGTTGCAAACCAGGTGTGCAACGTTGCAAACCAGGTGTGCAAAGTTGCAAACCAGGTGTGCAAAGTTGCGAACCAGGTGTGCAAAGTTGCAAACCAGGTGTGCAAAGTTGCGAACCAGGTGTGCAAAGTTGCAAACCAGGTGTGCAAAGTTGCAAACCAGGTGTGCAAAGTTGCAAGCCAGGGGTGCAAAGTTGCAAACCATGTGTGCAAAGTTGCAAACCAGGTGTGCAAAGTTGCAAACCAGGTATGCAAAGTTGCAAACCAGGTATGCAAAGTTGCAAACCAGGTGTGCAAACCAGGCGTGCAAAGTTATAAACCAGAATGTGATTATCACTGAGATTATCGCTATGAGATTTATCAACAGAGGAGTTAAACTACAGAGAAACTTCCCACCTTGATACTACTCAACACATTAGTTATTTGACCAATGCCTCGCTCCACTAAACCTAAAACCTAACTAGACCTAACCTAAACCTAACTAGACCTAAACTAACCCTAACTGGACCTAAACTAAACCTAACTAGACCTAACCTAACCCTAACTAGACCTAACCTAAACCTAACTGGACCTAAACTAACCCTAACTAGACCTAACTCCCACCTGCAATTGTATTTATTCCAATACCGAAAAAAATACATTTTTCGTCCAACGTAAAACAAAAAAAAATTGAGTTACAAAACTGTATTTTCTGTCGAGTTAAAACATGATGGAAGTTCTGGCAACAAAAACAGCCAAACAAGAACACAAAATTCATGAAATACAAAACAAGAAAAAACAATTAATTTGTAACATCTTACTCTTAACATCATATGTTAATAAAAAAAATTAGAACTTCCTTTTTTCCCATACAATTAACACGTATATAATTGGAAATAAAAATGAATAATTGGTTAATCCAATTTGTTTAATTATAAACCATTCCAATTTTATATAATTAATACGTTTGCAACTGAATAGGTTGACCCAATTTGTTTAGTTAAAAACATTCTAATATACTATTTACCTTAGGAACCTTGCCGGGGTTCCTGCTTTAAAATAGGTAATGGTATAGGCAAGAATTACCTATCAATGGTAATTCTCAATATAATCTCAATTCTCTCTATAACAATTCTCTCTATAATCATGGGGAAAGGTAAAATATCAGCCTAATATAAAAGTCTTGAATGATTGAAGATCAAAGGTGATGAAAAACAATGAATAATGTTGGGGACATCAGAGGTAGATTAGATAATACATTAATTATAATCAGGTATTACAAATATTTTATTTTCACTACTCAATCGCGTTACCATTGATCAAGACGGCTATTGTTCCATATGCTCTTTGTTCATGCATATGTATTGTGATATTCTGTTTATCTACCCACACTCTCTCTCTCTCTCTCTCTCTCTCTCTCTCTCTCTCTCTCTCTCTCTCCTCTCTCTCTCTCTCTCTCTCTCTCTCTCTCTCTCACTCTCCTCTCTCACTCTCTCTCTCTCTCTCTCTCTCTCATCTCACTCTCTCTCCTCTCTCTCTCTCTCTCTCTCTCTCTCTCCCTCCTGACACAGGTGTGCAGTACTACCCCCCCACACACAAACATCTGTGCACTAACTACCACTTGAACTAAAAATAGTTCACAGGTGTTTACTGATTTCGTAATGATTAAAGGGAGGAGAAAAACCCTAACTAACACCTACAGCATGCATATTAAAAAAGAGATATATATATATATATATATATATATATATATATATATATATATATATATATATATATATATATATATATATATATAAATGTCGTACCTAATAGCCAGAACGCACTTCTCAGCCTACTATTCAAGGCCCGATTTGCCTAATAAGCCAAGTTTTCATGAATTAATGTTTTTCGTCTACCTAACCTACCTAACCTAACCTAACCTAGCTTTTTTGGCTACCTAACCTAACCTTACCTATAAATATAGGTTAGGTTAGGTTAGGTAGGGTTGGTTAGGTTCGGTCATATATCTACGTTAATTTTAACTCCAATAAAAAAAAATTGACCTCATACATAGAGAAAAGGGTTGCTTTATCATTTCATAAGAAAAAAATTATAGTAAATATATTAATTCAGGAAAAACTTGGCTTATTAGGCAAATCGGGCCTTGAATAGTAGGCTGAGAAGTGAGTTCTGGCTACTAGGTACGACATAAATATATATATATATATATATATATATATATATATATATATATATATATATATATATATATATATATATTAT